AACAACGAACTTCAAAATATTGCAGTAAAAATTTTCCATATCCTTTGTCTTAACCTTTGATCTCTGAACGAACTTTATGTTGATGGTTTACTTTTTATTTCAAATTGTAAAAACATCATGATGACGCATGTCAATAACTGTAATGAAATTAAATAAAACTTTTACGATTTTGACACTAGTTTATTTAAACTGGAGAATTGAATTTTATTGAGTGAAAATTTTTTGATTAAAATATTGAAGATTGATAAACTTCACTTTCTATTTTGATTTTTTAAAATAAAATTTATTATTATATAGATGTTGTGATGAAAATATTTGTCGGAAGAATGATAGGGTTGGGCTTAGAAACGTTAATTTCGATTGGTTAATACGTAAGCCTTTGTTAGAGATTCGTGCCAAACATTAATATAGATTCGAATCATGTTCTTTTCGTGTTTTATCAAAAACAATGAGATCTTCTGCAATGCTATTTTCGTGTTTTGTCATTAACAATAATGTCCTCTGTAATGTTCTTTTCTTGTTTTGTCAAAAACAATGATGTCCTCTGCAATGTTCTTTTCGTGTTTTGTCAAAAACAATGATGTCCTCTGCAATGCTCTTTTCGTGTTTTGTCAAAAACAATGATATCCTCTGCAATGTTCTTTTCGTGTTTTGTCAAAAACAATGATGTCCTCTGCAATGTTCTTTTCGTGTTTTGTCAAAAACAATGATGTCCTCTGCAATGCTCTTTTCGTGTTTTTCCAAAACAATGATGTCATCTGTAATGCTCTTTTCGTGTTTTTCCAGTAACAATGATGTCCTCTGTAATGTTCTTTTCGTGTTTTGCCAAAAACAATGATGTCATCTGCAATGTTCTTTTCGTGTTTTGCCAAAACAATGATGTCTTCTGCAATGTTCTTTTCGTGTTTTGCCAAAAACAATGATGTCTTCTGCAATGTTATTTTCGTGTTTTGCCAAAACAATGATGTCCTCTGCAATGTTCTTTTCGTGTTTTGCCAAAAACAATGATGTCTTCTGCAATGTTATTTTCGTGTTTTGTCAAAAACAATGATGACCTCTGCAATGTTATTTTCGTGTTTTGCCAAAAACAATGATGTCATCTGCAATGTTCTTTTCGTGTTTTGCCAAAAACAATGATGTCTTCTGCAATGTTCTTTTCGAGTTTTGCCAAAAACAATGATGTCCTCTGCAATGTTCTTTTCGTGTTTTGCCAAAACAATGATGTCCTCTGCAATGTTCTTTTCGTGTTTTGCCAAAAACAATGATGTCCTCTGCAATGCTCTTTTCGTGTTTTGTCAAAAACAATGATATCCTCTGCAATGTTCTTTTCGTGTTTTGTCAAAAACAATGATGTCCTCTGCAATGTTCTTTTCGTGTTTTGCCAAAATAATGATGTCCTCTGCAATGTTCTTTTCGTGTTTTGCCAAAAACAATGATGTCCTCTGCAATGTTCTTTTCGTGTTTTGCCAAAAATAATGATGTCCTCTGCAATGTTCTTTTCGTGTTTTGCCAAAAACAATGATGTCCTCTGCAATGTTCTTTTCGTGTTTTGTCAAAAAGAATGATGTCCTCTGCAATGTTCTTTTCGTGTTTTGCCAAAAACAATGATGTCCTATGCAATGTTCTTTTCGTGTTTTGTCAAAAAGAATGATGTCGTCTGCAATGTTCTTTTCGTGTTTTGCCAAAAACAATGATGTCCTCTGCAATGTTCTTTTCGTATTTTGTCAAAATTAATAATGTCCTCTGCAATGTTCTTTACCCCACGTAGTCATCGTTGTTATGTTTGCAAATTGTATTGAAAGATTTCTGCAGCAGCATTTGTTCCATAGTTTAGTCTTTTGTATCGAAAAAGACGAATGTGTGTGCTGAACGTGGTAATGTATCCGCTTGATTCGTCAAATTCTAGATGATGGTATGCCTGCGAAATGTCAAGTTTGAAGAAGTGCTTTGCACCCATTGAGTTCCATAATAACTCAATGTTAGTTATTATAGAGCTCAATGTTTGCACCGTTTAATTAGGAAATTGAACGAGACTTACCTGAAGTTGAAGTTTGATTGGGATTCTATTAGCATCTACAAAGCAGAGATTACACGAGATACTACGCATGCGCACATTGGTCATATTTTAAAGATAGTGGCCACATGAACCGCCCAAATGTGCATATGAACGATATGCAGGGAGGCAGTAACATGATGGGTCGGCGTGTAATCTCTGCTCTGTAGATGCAAAGTATGATGTTATATCAAGAAATAATTCAGCATTAAGCTTCCATTCTTTGGAATCATCAAATTTTCTGGAAGCTTTGTCAGCCACCACATTACTTTTCCCAGGGATATAGCTGACAGTTAAACATATGTCCCTGATTCTGCCCCACGCCCATATTTCCCTTGCAATCTTATTGCAATGGTGAGAATGGAAGCCCCTTATGTGGTTAATAAATGCAAGGGCCGTGGTATTATCGGGCATTACGTTAATATGGGTGTGGGCTAGATCGCGACAGAGAGATTGTAGCCCAAACAGTATTGCTTTGAGTTCCAGACTATTAATGTGCGAGTCTTTTTCGGCGATTGACCATTCGCCTCCCGTGGACTGTTTGCTAATATTTGCACCCCATCCCTTGGTAGAGGCGTCCGTATACAATACATGGTCGATATTGTCATGATTCAGATGTTTTTTGGACTCATATGCAGTATTAATCCACCAAGATGCGTCCTCCAGCGCCGAAGGGGAGAGTTTTAATGTCGAATCAAAGTTACCCTGTTAGAGTTAAGGGCTGTTGTTTTGTCCCTATCAAGATCACGATAAAACAGTGGGCCATATTCCACGCCAAGGAAGAAAGCTACCATCATGCCAATTAGCTTGGCCACTTCCCGTATGCTAGGAGAGTCAGTTGCAGTACCCCCCTGGCAACCTCGCATAATTTGTGGTGTTTCTCTATGGATATAGAGAGTTATCTCTATGGATATAGAGATATATCTGTTGAGTTTAACACAAAACCTAAATGTTGTAAAATCTGTGTGGGTTCTGTAACAGATTTATCTTTATGGGGTAGAAATCCTAAGTTCGGAAACAATTGTAGAGTATCATGTACGTTTTGCTCGCATTCTGAATAGGAGTAGCCCATTAAAAAAGGGTCATCAATGTAACCGCTAGAAATGTGCCCAAGCTCCCTCAGCTTAGAATATACGGGCTTGAGTATCGTTGTAAATAAGTGTGGAGCGGAAGATAAGCCTTGAGCAAGGCATGTGAATTGGTATAGATAACCTTTCCACATAAATTTTAAGTATTTTTGATGCTCTATGTGTATTGGTATTTAGTAATATGCATCTCTAAGGTCAACGGATGCCATGTAGCCCCCAGGTCGCATGACCTGAGTACAAGTATGGATCGATTCCATTTTAAAGTGGTGACATGTTACAAATGTGGTAAGCTCTTTTAGGTTTTAATATCATTCTAAAAGAGCCATCTTTCTTTGCTCTTAAAAAGATATTGGAGATAAACTCGCCCTGTTCATGCATGCTTATAGCAATGATACCTTTCTCTGGAAATTTGGTAACTTGACGATCGACATTTTGGACTTCCGAGGGAGACATTTTTATAGAGTGGGGTGGTTTCAGCTGGACTGGGTATCATCGAGAGTAGGAGTCACAGCTTTCTTAGTGTTTTTCCCCTTGTCTCGACTTTCCTCTAGGGTTGGTTTTTATAATAGTTGCGTCGTTGTGGTCGGCTTTGCAAATGACCGCCCCGACGTTGGAATAAAAAAGGTTCATTGGAATTATGTGAGCTGGTCGACCGTTGATCGTTGCGTTTCTGTTTGTTGTTTGTCAGTTGCTGTGCAGCCTTTTTGCTTTCTTCTACTGTTTTCAGGCGTTCCTTTAAATCATCACCAAACAGTTATGCAGCAACAGGTTCTTTGTTACTACAGATTTTCTTGTAATTTTCATCAAGGTCAACTTTTAACAAGGCCCTGCGGCACATGTTCAGAGCATGATTGCTGAAGCGAAAAGCACAATAGATGTGGACAGCCCATCCCAGATGACCTCTGGTGTCGGTGCAGGTGTTTGCCTAGAGAGGTACTTATAGATCCCGCAATTCGGGATATCGGAATGGGGCCCTTTAGTAAGGCTTCTTGTAATGTTTGTAGACGTGCATCCATGCTACGTGTGGATTTCTTAGCAATGTCCCCAAAATTCTGCGCTCACCTTTGTAACTCTTAACAGGTCACAGTTTTCGGGGCGTTGTACCCCTTCCTTTCGTTTTGATAATGTTTGTTCGTTTATTCCAGTGGACAAAATGCTGGTCCCGATTTTAGAAATTTTAGGTGGCAATGGTTGGTCTGTCGGTTCATTCTCATTCACTTCGAGAATCAGCTCATCTACCAAAGCCTCGCTTTGGTTTGCTAGAGCTGGAGCTGTATCTGCAACTACAGCAGCAGCTCCGTTGGTTGAGTGTTCGTCATCAGTTTCACCTTCAGACATAACAGCACCATCGTGCATTTGGCGTGCGGTATCATAAGCCTGCTTGAGCTCTTTTACGACTGGAGCAAAAGTATTCATCAAGCCAGTAAGTTGATCGACCTTCCTGTTAAGGTCGTCCAAAGTAGTTCTCCCGTCATTCCGTTTTAGGAGATTGCTGTTGTTGGCATTAGCAGGGTGTTTATAACTGGCCTCGCCGGATTTGCTCATTTGCCCTTGTAGACGAGACCGTTTCTGTTGTGGTGCATCGTCTACATTTACGTCTCCTAATAAGCCCGACAGCGTCGGATTAGGATGGTTATGCAAGAGCGTCAAGTCGTCTGCTTGCTCAATTGTTTCGCTGACTAGTGCCATTTGTTGTTGAATAGATTATTTAACCACAGAAGAAGAGTTTGCCGCGCAAACTCAGTGGTTATGTAGACGTATGTTCTGCAGTGTGTTTTAGAACGTTTCTGTCGTTCTACACAGCAGGATGGAAGATTATTTAATGGATTATTCGTATATGACCAAACACGCCATCTGTAATGGCGGTGAGCTTGGTAGAGAATGACCAATGTGCGCATGCGTAGTATCTCGTGGGATCTCTGCGGTAAATGCTAATAGAATTCAAAAACTGACGTCATCAACGGTCGGTATCGGATGGCGGACTTGCTTAATGGCCTCGTTTGTAAGACGCATATCTATAAAAAGTCTAACTCCTCCGTTTTCTTAGGAGCTGCGACAATAGGTAATACCCATAATGTTGGTTGATCCTTAGGAAACCGATCCCCAGAGAAGCCTAAACCTCATCAAAGGAGCCTTCGTTAAAAGATATTATATCTATTCTTATATGAAGTACGTCAACTCAATGTTTCCTGTTTCCAGTTTGTTATTTGCATTTTTATTTGAGGGAGAAAATTTTCCTTCTTGTTTCAATGTAATAAACCATTTTTAATCATTTGTACTTTGCTTGAAGTTTTCTCTTATGCCAAAGAAGACAAGTACCTCCAAAGTTTGAACGCTTCTACCAAGGTGTTTATATAAACAACTAATATTTGAAATACCATCGATCAATTTTCTATAAAAGCGATTGTGTTAAGTAGCATAGTCAGTTCTCAAGTTTAGTCATGTTATGAAAATTTCGGAACTTTATGATCATTTATTTCTTTGGAAACCTTTTGTTTTCATTGAGGGTCTTTCACTGATCATCAGAAAGTTTAATAAAATCAATTGTGTTTTTTTAATGTACACCGTGAATGTTTAAAGACATCAAAACTCAATGTTCTAAAGACGTCAAGCTATTGAATTAGGAGCGACACCAGTAAGTTGATGGATATGTTTCATAATGTTTACTTCTCTACATTCTCTTGTTCATATGTATGCCCCAGAAAAGGACTGGAACGTAGTCTATTATTATGAGAAAGACTTGAACATAGTCTATAAACATGAAAAAACTGGAGCGTAGTCTATCAACATGAAAAGGACTAGAACATGTCTCTAATATTTTGTGCCGACAATGTTGACTATAATACATCTTTTTATCACGTTTTTATATGAATAGTATCAATGTCGTCTTATTTTTATATGATTTTTCCAGGTTCAAGAATGCAGTATTCGTATCAAACGTCTGGAATTTCTCGTTTCTATTCTTAAATGTATGGTAGAATGGAGCAGAGATCTTTACTTTAAACCTGATTCTCAAGTGGACGATAATTTTGGCGAGTTTTAACATCTTTATGAAACTGAAGAAACTCGCATGTAGCGAATATAAACTTAATATTGTTATACATTTCGATAAGTTATCGCTTTATGATCCATTGTACCCCTCTTTTGATATTGGCTACACTGACGATTTTTGTCTCCATCAAGATTCCATCTTTCTATACTCTGTATCCCCTATTTATCGAAGGTACTCCATTATTTTCTTATAATGTTCTTCATCGTAACTAGTTTTTCGACAATTGTAGTTAACCTCTCAGGATCTAAGTTATCCCTTAGTTATCTTTTTTACCCTTGCTGGTCTCGCGGTGGATGAAGGCTATATCTTAATGTTTACAGTTACTCATTATTGAACCATGCTACCCTCAATGTTCTAGTCTATCTCTCAATAATCTATACTATCTTCCTGATCATCTAGGCTATCTGTTAATGATCTATGCTAACCTCTTAATGATCCACGCGATCCCTTATTGATCTCAAAATCATCATAGTTATTCCTCAATACTTCTGTTTAATGTCTTCCATATAAATTTCCTTACAGATCTGGTTGATGATGCACCAACAATTTCTTGAAAAGGAAGCACCGAGGAGAATGAAAACCGGGGGGAACCCGGTGATTTACAATCTCAAAAACGGGGGGTAGTTAGTCGTCTCTTAATAGTACAAAAGCCATCGATAATGCTGAAGTATTTGAGAGTCTTAAACAGAAGAAGGTGACGAAAGAAAAGGGAATTCAATTGTAAGTTTGGTCAACAATTTTGCTCATCTTCTGTACTTTTATTCAATTTTACGATTTACTTTAAGATTTAACAAGAATCCATCAAAAGGTATAAAATTTCTTCAATCTGAAGGTCTCCTTGGTGAGACAGCAATGGAAGTTGCTCAGTTCTTACACACTGATGATACACTAGACAAGGTGATGATCATTTTAGACAATCTATATCCCTTGCAGTCCTTTTGTTTCATTTCACATGATGTTGTCTTCTTTCACTAAAGTTTTCATTTTGTCACATTTGCACGCTATCTCTGAGTAATTTGTAGAAACATTAAATGTTGCTTTGGATTTTGTCCCAGTGTTGCGTATTATTGTTTTAGACTATGATTGGTGAGCTGATTGGTGATCCAGGACAGTAAGTATGTTTTTTCACATCTCCCTCGCGTGACAATCACGTGAAAATCACGTTAAGACGTTTGATTGTCATCTTAAGTATTTATTTCAACGTAAATTGAGTCAAGAAAAGTTGATTATGTTAATTTGCCATGAAGCCCATGGATGGTTTGCTCATGATACATGAAATAGTAAGTCAGAAAATTTAATTTTTTAAGGTTGCATTAAACTCCATGTAAAAGGACAAAAGCTGTTTGAAACTAAGCATTATCTTCAAATCTCTTGGAAATTTTTGTTCATAAAAAACAAAACAATGTTTTTATATGCTCAAAATTTCTCTATCCAGTGGATAATATTGACGGAATTCAGTAAGATTTGCTACTGTTGAAAACAAGGAAACAAAATGTTTAGTACACTTAGATATATTGTTCGTCATGTCCTCAACTGTTCTTCATATCCTCAACTGTTCTTCATATCCTCAACTGCGCCTCATGTCCTCTACTGTTCCTCGTGTCTTCCTATACTTCTTAGATATGAACGGGAGATAATGTACGCCTAAATAGACCAGTTGGATTTTACTGGTACCAATCTTGTGCAAGCTCTGCGATTGTTCTTACATAACTTCCGGCTTCCGATCGACTCATGGAGAAGTTTGCGAGTAAGTTCTGTGAAACGAACCCAAAGTATGGACATGATTTGTGTCTTTTTATCTGTTGTTTTACATCTCGCATTGCATGCTGGTTAGTGAAACTTACGAAATGACTTTTGTCTATGAACCATGTGTTAATTTTTTTTCATTTAACATCAACAATAATTTAGGACTGGTTTTCGACCATTTTTTTTTTAAGTATTTTCTCATCGAACTTTTATTATTCGAGATTTGAGGACGGCAATCTGCTGTTAGATAGATGTAAAGTGAGTTGTTTGAGCTGGGAGTATTGTTACATGTTTGTAGATGTAGATTGTCCAGGTTTGTAGAGTCCTGAGAAGGAATGTTGTTGTTGATGTTGACTGATGTTTCTACAACCTGGCTTATTTTATCATCATGTTGACTACTGATATACATAGTTCACAGGTTACACAGACTTCATTTGCAATTGTTTCTATAAAAGTGACTCTATGTCTAAGATCACGTGACTATAGAGTCTCGCGAGATTTTCATTGAGATTTCCAGATTTTTATTGTGCTTCCACTTTACAGATTTGCAAAGTGAGAAACATCGTCGCATGTTGTATTCTATGGAAATGGAGCAGATGGCAAAAAACGCCAAAACACAAATGGAAGACGTGAGTCATATTCAGACGGATTTTGTCACGGCGACACAGATTGGTCACGTAAAGACAATGTTCAAGGTACGGGGGGGTGGAGTCTGGAGGGTAATGTTTGTGGTGTATGTAAGGATTGATTAACAAAGCGTTAATTGTGATGTCAACTTATACCGACAGCAGGGGCGGATCTAGAGTATGTCAAATCCGTCGCGCGACTGATGTTTGAAATTCAAACATTACCTATTCATATTAATTAAAAATTCATTAATTATTCTTACTTTAATATCGCATTTACTTCGTGATGAAAATCCAGCTTTATTTATTATTGAAAACTAATGACTAACAATGAATATCTCCTTGGTAACCAGATCAGTTGAATTGTAATTGACCTGGAATAACCGACTGATAAGCGGGGCGGCTTGACTGGTTCGATTTATAAAGGAGTGTATGAACGCCAGAAACGCTATTTTATTGGTCAATGGCCAGATCAGTGGACAGTCTGGAATAATCTCGACCGATAATAGGGGTGGCCGGACCTATAAGGGAGTCCAATTGCTATCTTACAATTGGCTCATTTGAATTTTTGTTTTATTGTGATTGGTTTGACCGATTTCGACTGATAGCCTTCTGAGCTAACATTGTCAAGCGTGGTGTCTGGAATGCGAGATAGATCATCACGTTGTGATTCACTATAGCGTGGTTTGTAAAATCTGTTTCATTGCATTTATTTGGAAAATCGTTTACAAACTACAATGTTAAATATTGATATGTATGCTGCTGTTCAGACTGCAATTTCGCAAGAGAATGATAAATCTCTGAATGAATTGAAATTGCGTTTGAATGAGGAATATTGTGGGGCGACTAAAATGTCGAGAGAGGAATTCTTATCATTGCTTTTGAAAGACGAAACATCATTGAGCAGAGAGTTCTCAGCAGAAATTTACATCCCCAAAATCGTACGTAAGCAACACGAGGACAAAGGAAATGTATGCATGGCTTTAAGGTATCCAAACCATTAATATCAATTTATGCGACTATGAGATGTGGTTTATGTCTATTGACTGTTGTATAAATTTTAATGAAGCAGATTTCATTTTGTGCAGTGTATACTAAAGATCTACGGCTTGGGCTTTTAATTTTATTATAAATATTGGCATAAATTCAGCGAATAGTGAATTTATATTTGAACTTTGAATTATCTTCTACATGTAACTACGTTGCTATGTTAGATATTTCCTGGCCAGTTAGTTAAATTTTTGTTGGAGGACTTATAGAAACACGACTTTTTTATTCAATTTAGATCACAAGTATCTGGCAACTGTCTCTACAGTTCAGTGTCATTGCTTTTGGCAGGTGATATCAGTTTATTGCATATTTTGAGGCAGTTAACATCACTTGAGCTGTTTTTGAATGCTACTTTTTACTGCCAACATCCTTTATTTTCCTCAATTGTTGAACAGCATAAAGAATTCAACAACACCTCAAAGAATATTTTACCTTTGACAGTATCTCAAGACTGTCTAGATTCTGGTTTTGTAGGTGTTGATCTTGTCAAAAAGGAGGCCTTTTTGAATTGTCATGACCAAAAGTGGTCATCGTTTCTATGCATTTTAGCTCTTTCTTCTGTGTTGGAGACAAAAATTTTTACTTACTACCCAGATTGTGGAGAGCGAAGGCCTAAATCAATATTCAACTCTCTTGTTTGTCCAAGAAGAATAGTTAAAGAATCAGCCAATGCAATTCATCTTTTGTTTTGTTATAAAGGGATAGTTAAACCAGATCAATGTTTCCAACCTAATCATTTTGTTCCTCTAGTTTTTTTTCCTAGCAAAACTAAAAGGACAATTTCTGGTCCAACATGCCCAGTGCCTTCAAAAAAAGCAAAAGCTGAAAAAAAGTCTGGGAATATCAGTAAGTTTTTTTCAAAAATGGAAAAACCAGAAATCATTACAAGTGAGGTTTCTTGTACTAGGGTTACTGAACAAACCATTGAAGATTTACAGGTAAAGCCTAACTTTATTCACAATTTTGATGTAGCTACCTACTACAAAAGAGCTAAAGGTTTGAAAATGTCTGATATTTGTTTGCTTATTAAAATGTTTTTAAACCTGATGAAAATTACACTTTTCCTCCTTTGAGTGAGAACAATAAAATAAAACAAATTGAGTTTTCTTGATATTCAATATTACAAGAGTTTGAAACAAAATAATGTTTATATTTTGTCAAAGATGAATGTTGAAATTGTCTGCTTGTCCTGGTTATGAGTGAGAACAATAAAAGGTCTTTTAAATATGAATGGCTCAAAGATTTTACCTGGTTGTGTTATTCACTAAAAGAAGATGGTGCTTATTGCTTATCATGTGTTCTTTTTGGACATCAATTCCCCAGTAAATGCTCGAGAATAAACAATCTATTTCGTTCACCTTTTCGTCATTGGAATGATGCTGTAGGTACATTTAGGCGACATGCTGGAAATTGTAAGGGGGAAAAAATGGGACTACATGCATCTACTTCTCCAATTTTAAATAATATATGCTCTCAAATGTCAGGTGTAGCTCAACCCATTGAAAATATTATAGATACTAACATAAAACTTGAAATTGAGCAAAATAGGAAAATTCTTAAACAAATTGTTGATACAGTTCTTTTTTGTGGAAGGTTTGGCATTGGATTACGAGGTCATCATGATGATGCTCAATTTCACCCAGAGGTCGGTTGCTATTCAGTCAATGGCAATGTTGGTAATTTTGTTGAATCTTTAAATTTTAGAGTTAGAGCTGGTGATCAAACTTTGGAAAATCATTTGCTCAAATGTGGCAAGAATAAGTTATATTTCCAAGACCAGCCAAAACAAAATCATCAACTGTATTGGTCAGGTAATATCCGAAGATATTATAAACAAGATAAAAAAAATAGATATTATTCTATCATTGCAGATGAAGCTGCTGATTCTTCTCACCAAGAGCAATTGTCCCTTGTTCCACGGTTTCTTGACTCTTCAATGAATGTTAAAGAAGAGTTAATGTGTTTCCTGCATTGCAAATGGGGTTGAGTGGTCAACCACTTTCAAAGCTTATTTTAGAAACTCTAGAGAAATTTGCCTTACCCATTATGGATTGCAGAGGACAAGGTTATAATGGTGCAGAGGCTGTTTCTGGGCATATAAATGGTTTAGCAGCCCACATTTTAAGAACTCATCCTAAAGCTCTTTACACTCACTGTTACAGTCATCGACTAGATTTGTCTGTCTGTGACACTCTTTCTAACGTTGAAATTAATAACATGTTATCTGTTGTTTCTCAAGCTGCCAATTTTATCAACATATCACAGACACGCAACATACCCTTTGCTGAGCACGTTAAAAAGTCAGATGTTCAGACCAAGAAGGCAAAACTGTTAAGTCTTTGTAAAACCAGATGGGTTGAGCGAGTTGACAGTCTTGACACGTTTCAACAGTTGTTTATCCCTTTAATCGACACTCTTCAGGACATGATAAACAATGTAAGCGGCGAGGTGAAGCCTTCCCTTGCTGCTGATGCTTCCCAGTTACTTTCATTAGTTACTCAATTTCATTTTATTGTTGCGCTAGTTATTACAAGAAATATTCTTGATGCTACTCTTCCAGTCACGCAATTGTTGCAGGGAAAAAACTATTGATGTTATGGATGGTTTTCATTTGATAACCACTTTGAAGAATGATGTAGCCAACATGAGGAAAAGCATTAATTTTTATCATAACACTTGGTGTGAAGAGGCTTTAAAACTTGCTGAAGAGGTCAACGTTCAAGAAACAAAAAAGCGAATTGCTGGAAGACAAACTATGCGATCTAATCCCCCCAGTCAATCATTCAAAGAACATTATAAACTAACCATCACTATTCCTTTATTAGACCATCTTCAAACATCTTTGAGCACTAGGTTTAACTTGGATAGTGTTAATGTGTACCGAGGATTATCTATCGTTCCCGTCAAAATGATGACTCTGTCGGACAAAGGAATTGATTGGAAAGAACAGTTTAAAAGTGTTGGAAAATTCTATCATGATGACTTGCCCAACCCTCTTGGTTTAGATGCTGAATTAAGGCAATGGCGTTTATACTGTGAAACGCACAATGGGCCTTTGCCAGAAAACATCGTTAAACACTGAAGCATGTAACATTTCCAGGATTTGAAAATATTAAAGTTATTCTTTGCATTTTAGGTACATTACCAATCACCTCATGTGAATGTGAGAGATCAATTTCAGCATTGAGGAATCTAAAAACCTACCAAAGGAGCACTATGGTAGAGG